AAAAAAGTCAAGTCATTAAGACGCTTACTTAATTACTATCCAATGCAGGTCTAACAGACAGACAAATACCTTAAAGCTCGAAAAGACCTTACAGTTTACAGTTTATGCCAGTTATCAAGCTATTGTCTCTTAGCTCTATACCCAGATTTCTATACTCCAGATTCTGATGCCAGGGCTTGGAAGTTGTAAACTCCATTTCTGGCTTGCCAGCTGGCTCCATATTGTGCTCTGCCAAAAAGGAATCTAAAAAGGGGAAGAATAGATTTGCTCCTTCTATCTGCTCCCTGTTTGCTTTCTGCAGGCTTCCCTGTATGTGTGTCATTTTTCTTAGCATAACCTGATAACACTTCTTTATACGGCAGAAGCAGGGCCCTTCCTTAGCATAAGCTGAATCTAATTTGCAATTTTCTCAATACTTGACAAAGCTCATCATTTCCTCTTGCACTAGAGATATCAGCACCAACATGGAAGAAACCTCACTTCAGAGGTCAGGGCTTCAGGTCTGTGGATTCCTCTTCTAAGTATCTAAGTTTTAGTAATTTTATTACCTTATTTTTGTTCCTCCAGCCCTAGTGGTGGTAGCTGTGATGCCTTCCTGTATCCTTTCATTTATTTACTAATTTTTTGACCAATTCACAATTCTTAATGTCAAATGCTCTGCTTAAATAACTAATATGGTTTCTGTCCCCTGACTATACACTAACTGATCACCCATCCATTAATTCTCAAGGTGCTATCAAAATCACCAAGGGCTTCAGAGGTACAATTTGAACATGAATATCTAATAATTATAATTTTCTATTTGCAAAATGAAAAAATCATTTTCATAAAACAAATCTTAACCAAATATTCTTTATTGATATTATTTTAGTTGACAAATTATAATATACATTTGTGAGATATAATGTGATGTCTCATACATGTATATAAATGTGAAATAATTAAATCAAGCTAATTAGCATATCTACCTAACTTACTTATACTTTTTGTGGGGAGACATATGAAATTTACTCTTAGTTATTTTGAAATACACATCATTAACTATAGTTGCCTTGCTGTGCAACAGTTCTAAAAATTTGTTCCGACTGTCCAAACCTTTGTACCCTTCAACCAACTCCCCATTGTCTTCCTCTCCACCTACCTCCAGTCTCTGTAAACATCATTCTACTCATTTAACTTTTTTAGATTCCACATATAAGTGAGATCATGCATATTTGTCTTTCCATGCCTAGCTTATTTCACTTAGCATAATGTCCTCCATGTTCATGCCCATTGTTACAAATGACAAAATTTCCTTCCTTTTTAAGGTTGAATAGTACTCCGTTACATATATATACTACATTTTCTTTGTCTATTCATCTCTTGATGGACACAAATTAATTGCACATCTGGGCTATTGTGAATAAGCTGCAATAAAAATGAGAATGCAGTTATCTCTTTGACATATTGACTTCATTTCCTTTGGCTATATACTAAGAAATGGGATTGCGAAATAATATGGTAATTCTACTTTTAGTTTTTTCTGGGACTTCTACAAAATTTTCCATAATGGCTGTACTAATTTACATTCCCACCAACAATATTCAAAATTATCCTTTTCTCTGTATCCCTGACAATACTAGCTATTTTTACCTGTTTGATAAAATAATTCTAACAGGTATGAGGTGACATTTCATTGTGGTCTTAATTTGCATTTCCCTAATGATTAGTGGTACTGAGTACTTTTTCATGCACTGTTTGTCCATTTGTATGCTGTAATTGAGAAATATCTGTTCGGATCCTTTGCCCATTTTGAGTTCACTATATATTTTGGGTATTAACCTCTTTATCAGATATATGGTTTGCAAATATTTTCGCCCATTCTATGTGTTGACTCTCCACTTTGTTAATCAATTCCTCTGTTGTACAAAAGCTTTTTACTTTTATGCCATCCTATTTGTCTATTTTTGCTTCTGTTGTCTGTGCTTTCAGGGTCATATGCAAAAATCATTGTTCAGACAAATGTTGTGGCTTTTCTCCTAAGTTTTTGTCTAGCAGTTTTAGAGTTTTAGGTCTCAATCCATTTTGAGTTGATTTTTGTACATGGTGTGAGATAAGGCTCCGTTTTCATTCTTCTGCATGTAAGTAACTGGTTTTCCAATATTATTTATTGAAAAGACCATCCTCTCCTCATTGTGTGCTCTTGGTACCTGTTGAGAATCAACTGACTATAAGTGCATGGGTTCATTTCTGGGCTTTTAATCCTGTTTCACTAGTCAATGTGTCTGTTTTTAGACAGTACCGTGGCTAAATTGGTTAATCATATATTTTGAATACCAGGAGTGTGATGCCTCCAGGTTTGTTCATTTTCATCAAGATTGTTTTGGCTATTCAGTTAACCAAATATTATTGGTCCCTAGGGATACACAGAAGAGAGAGAGAGATTCTCAACCAAAGAAGAATTAAGATAATAGGGCCTGAGATGGGGACTTAAATTAATAAGAGATTTAAAAACACCAGCCGGGCTCGGTGACTCAGCCTGTAATCCCACGCCTTTGGAAGGCTGAGGTGAATGGATTGCCAGAGCCCGCGGGTTCGAGACCCGCCTGGGCAGCGAGACCTCATCTCTACAATAAATCAAAAAATCAGCCAGGCATGGTAGCGCATGCCTGTAATTCCGGCTACTTGGAAGGCTGAGGCGGAAGGATCACTGGAGCCCAGCAGGTCGAGGCTGCGGTGGCCGGGAGCGGCCACTGCACTCGTCTGGGCGACAGAGTGAGACTCCAACTCAAAAAAAAAAAAAAAAAAAAACCCACCAATATAAGTCCAACCCCTTCATAATAAAAATAAAGAATCTAAGATCCATTAGACCTATAAGGTTCTTGAGAAAAGGAAAAGTTTTGCCTGCCCAAAATAAAAACTTGTGCAAATGAGAGAAGCTAAAAGTGTACCCAAGATCAAAAAACGAGTTAGTGACAGAACTAAGCCAATGATATTATCTCTCAGTTGGAGGGCCTGTCCCGTCTATCCCACTTTTATGGAAGGGTCCATTATCACTAGGCTGAAGTCCCAGAAAAATACTATTGAAGACTGAGTTCCCCAAGAAGCAGATTCTGTACTGGAAAGTAGTGTACAAGTGTATGAATACTGAATGCTGTTACAATCAGCTTTTGGCAGAGAGGAGGGAAAGAAGCAGGATTAAGCAAAGGAAGAGGCTGAACTGTTACGTGGTACGAAAGGAGACCCCAGTTGACTCTACAGGGAGTTCTGAAGATAGGATGATCCTTTAGAGTTATGCTGAGTTGAAGCAAAGAGATTGAGTCTTTAGACATCCTTGTCAACAGGTCATTGGATCTGAGAAAACCCAGAAAGGAGGTATGACCTTAAATAAACTGGCTCCATTCAGCTTAAGCAATCCAATAGAGGGGAGAGGATGAAGGGAAGTACGTTAAAGGGTAAAAACACAGAAAGAATACATTCAATATTTGATAGCAGAGTAGGGTGACTATAACTAAACCAAGAATGTATTATACTCAGGTGGTGGATGCTCTAAATACCCTGACTTGATCACTACCTATTATAAACATGTAACAAAATTTCGCATGTACCTCTTAAATGTATACAAATATTTTAAATGTTAGCAATTTGGTTTCATTAAAAACTTTTTGCTTTTATGTCTTTTATGTGAAATACAGAAGGAAAACAATTCCATTTAAATTGAGGTTATTAGTTGACAGTAGTTAATCAAAGATTTGCTGCACTCAAGTAAAAAGAAGCCACAAGGTGGAGCATAGAGGGAATAGAGAGTTGTTCTTTCTTTAACATTCTGTGATTTCAGAGCACCAACTACCCTACCTAACTGGAGAGACAGGAAAGATCATAGTTAGTAGCCTGTCTCCAAAATCCCGTGCCTATTGTATGAAAAGGTTATCTCTGTGTTTGGACCAACCAACATACTCAGAATGAGTCTTAAAGGGAAGGAAAATCAGACATCGGTCTGTGGAATCCCACAGGAAAAAAACAGAGCTCTGTAAATACTAAATTCTAAGGTTTACACTGGGTCCAGAGAGGTGCGAAACATCAGTGATCGGGAATTAGGTCTAGGCTGAAGTGGACCACAATCCTAGACAATATATAGCACCCACAGTTAACATGAGGAGAGTACCAAAATATTTGCCATTTAAAGGTTTAATATATAGCTCATGAAATAAGATAGAAATGCAAACAGTATCATACAAGTTTTGTTGATATCCTGTTGTAAGGAAGATGTGGTAGATTACGCATCCTCGTTGTCGGCGTGCAAGCAGTCTCCAATCCCGCTCCGGAGTTGCAGAGCCAGCGTGGGAAACTCTCCTAAAACCTTTACATCGCTCGTGGGCCCTTGAAGGCCTACCCGCGTAGGTTAGCCCCGAACCATCAAAACGCTCATCGGTATCTATGAATGCGGTCACAGACGTAAGGATGACAGCCGCGCCCTCCACGTGTCACCTTAAACCACACACACACCCCACCCCGTCAGGCGCATGCGCACTCTGAGGACTCGGGGCCCAACTTAGGGTACTGAGCAAGCGCAGTTCCGTGAACCACGCCCTCCCCTGGAAAGAGCTGGCGTGGTTAGGAGTAGATGAAATGCTTGTGTTGTTATCTTTAACAACTTTTACCTTTGACAACTTTGTCCAGACTCTCACGCAGGTCCTTATTCTTGCTGTAAGTCAGTTTGCCTGAAGTAAAAATTGACGTTTGGCGTTAAAATTTCCTCCTTCCCTTAAATTACCATTTTGCGCTTTGAGGCGGGGCGAGACGTTCCGGCAACCAGTCCTGACAGATATGGGGAGAAAATGGCATATTGCAGAGAATATTTACAGTCTACCACCTCAGTCACATAAAAACAACACTTAAAAATAAAATGCTCCGTTCTTCCATAGGATATGCTTCAAAAGACATAGACTTTGTATTTGTCCACGCCAAGGAGAATAGTGCTTCTATCTACTAACAAGGACCTGTACCAAGAAGCTGCGCACGCGCAAGCCGTCCGGCCGCCGTGAAGCGCTCGAGAGGCCTGAATACTGATCTGCCTCGCGCTTTCCGGCAGTCGTGAAGGAGGCTTCTAGGCTCGGTTGAGGCCGCCATGGGGAAGGTGAATGTAGCCAAATTGCGTTACATGAGCCGCGATGACTTCAGGGTCCTGACCGCGGTAAGAAACCCAACAGTCCTTCTCTGTACCTTCCCACTGTGCGTCCTCGTCCTGTTCCTCTAGGTTCGCTGGGAGCTAAGTGGGCGTTCTGAGCTGTGGGGTGTGGTAGAGGCTGGGCATGGAGAAAAGAGCACCGGAGAGTCGGATTTTTAAAAAACTTTTGTTCAGGATCCTACCTTCCCCCAGACCGGGTAAAGGCCCCGTCTTCTGATCGTTTTCTTCCTTTCTCCTCCCATTCGCTTTGCGCTTCAGAGACACGCTTGCATCTCTGTAGCCTGGGAAACTTCCCTGACCCGGGGCTTCGACCAGCTGTGAAGAAGTTCCCTCTTGAAAAGTGAAAGCCATTGAGTCCCCCCCCCCCCCCAGAGTCGCGTGGCAGTTCCGATTCAATCGACACGTTTGTCGAGTTCTTAGTAGCAATATTAGGGGACTCGGCGGGGTACAAAAAAGACCAAAGAGGAGACAGACACAGATCAAGTTAACGAATTAAATAAGCAGTATAGTAGATAAGTGCTATGAAGATGTTAAAGAAGAATAGAGTAGATAGTATGCATCTGGTGGGAAGAGGGGGTGCGAATGCTGTCTTTGAATTGTGTAGACAGGGAAGACCGCCTGACGACTTCTACCTGTTTACTGTTGGTCTTTTTTATTTTTTAAGTTCTTGATCCTTGGTAGGCAGTGAATAAATACTCTAAATATTCTTTAAATGAAAGAGTGAGTGTGGGGATAATAGGAGCTGTATGAGAAGAAACCAGCCCGGTGAAGTCCTTGGAAAGAGTGGGAGATGAGAAAACAATAAGTGCAAAGGCCCTGAGGCCTTAGTTGAAGAAAGGAAAGGCTTATGTAAAACTGAAGCATAGTGAGTCAGAGACTAATTAATGATTGGAGATGTAGCTGGAGAGGATGAGAGCCAGATCATGTACTACAGAGCCTTACAGGATTGGTAAAGAATGTGGTAGGAGCCACTAAATGTTTTCAAATGGGGAGTGACAAAATCAGATCTTATGGCACAAAAATCAATACATACATGTAGGCGTTTGCAGAATAAAGCAATTCATGTATGTAGGAGCCATTATTTTTTGGTAAAAAGCCAACCCGATGGTAAGGACTACCTGTAGGGTATTTTAGAAGTATTTTCCAGCCTTTGCCTGAACTCTACATGCCATCCCATACAGCTGCCACTGTACTAACTGTTCCCTGTGGCCAGTGCTTTCTTACATTACATGCTAGTTCCAAGCTTTTTTCTTTTTCTAATCTCATTTTGTCTGCTTTCTCTGTATGCTCACATGTCAAAGTCAGTCCCAAGTCTTGCTTCTTCCTTGGAACCGATCCCTCGGTTAGAAGTATTTTTGTTCAGAGGTAACCCTGGCTACCTCTTTTTTTTTTTTTAAGTACTTATCACTTCTAATAAAGTTAGATACATGCATTTTTTTATTTCCATAATTGGATAATAAATTATCCAGGGGTAGAGTATGTATATATTTTTAATTCTCCATGGTGCCCAGTACAATGCCTACATAGAGTACTTTCTCATTAAATACCTGCATAATAAATATCTGGAACTTCTGTATTTAAAGACAAATGTTTCGATGTCAACATATATTTTAGAATTTACCACATGTCGTTAACTATGTCAGGCACTCACAATTCCTACCTTCAAAGTGGAGAGACTATGAATATCAATTGTCAGATTTCAAATCATAATGAAAAATATGTTCAAAAAAGGAGATAATTATGTCTCAGAATTAGTTGGAAATGCATGGTCAGGAAACTTTCAAGGAGAAGTTAATTTCTTAGCAAGGTTTTGATAGACAAGGCTTTGTATTGATTATGATTATATAATATCTTTTAAATTTCAGGTTGAAATGGGCATGAAGAACCATGAAATAGTTCCCTGCAGCTTAATTGCGTCTATAGCCAGCCTTAAACATGGTGGCTGTAATAAAGTTTTAAGAGAATTAGTGAAACATAAACTCATAGCTTGGGAGCATACCAAAAGTAAGTATTTTGAGGTACTATTTGGATTTTTCAGGTGATTGGTTTCCCGCAGAGCAGATGTTCAAAAGGCAAGATGTAGAAGTTTTCAGACTATTTAAAGCACTAGACAAAGAACAGACAAGCATACGTTTGCCATATCCTATTGATCAAAACAATCAGAGGATACACCTAGAACAAAGGAGGTGGAGAAAAGGGTGTAGCAGGGTTGCCCTGCATAAGAGTGAGTGGCATAGGGATGTTGTTGCAAGCATGTTTGGAATATACAGTCTGCTACGGAACTTTAGAACATTACTTCTCAAACCACCTGTGGTGAGGGATGAATTTGTTTAGCCTATCACAGAGCCTTTTATAACATATAATAAAAAGTAACTACTAGAAAAATTACATGGATAACAGATACACAAAAACAGGCATAAATTCTTAATATAAAAATTGAAATTGAACTTAAATACTTCCTTTTAGTAGATGTATTTATTTTGCCACACGTAGTTGTAGGCTGGTATCAGACTGTGGGTCACACTTTGAGTAACACTACATTTCTGGAGAAGAGATGCAAATTATAGGAAGAAATTGAAAATGTGTAAGCCTGGGTAGTTTTTCCAACTAAGATTTTCCCATCTTTAAATTGTTTTTATGACTTGAACTGCTGAGACTTGGTTTTACAGTGTAACTGAAATATGGTCTTATTTGATTTTTGTCTAGCTGTGCAGGGCTACCGGTTGACAAATGCAGGCTATGATTACCTAGCTTTGAAAACCCTTTCTTCTAGACAAGTAGTTGAGTCTGTTGGAAACCAGATGGGTGTTGGCAAAGAGTCAGGTAAGTGCTGATAATACTGTGGAAAGCACTTTGTTTGCTGTAGTGTGTATTTTCCCTTGAGACAACATTCCTCCTTTAATTTTTCCCTTATTTCTAACTAAACAATAAATTGGAAAAATGGTTCGAAGCAAATTATAAATGTACCCTTAGTTTAATTATTGTTTTTTTCATTGTCTATCACTGTAAATTAGTTATACCAAGAACTTTCCTCTAATACCTGAAATATTTGGCAAATATTTTATTCGCTCTTATTTTAGTTCTGATAAATTATACATTTTAACAGTTAAAAATATGTACTCAGGGAAGTACTAGACGGTAGTGAATATCTAAAAATTGCAGATACATTTTTCCGTCACAGCAATATGATTAGCAAAGCAAAGTACATATGTGTAAAACCTGGGAAAACATTATATAAAAGCTTTGAACAAATACTTGTGTATTTATTTGTTATTTATATAGAAGACAGGTAGAAATAAAGAACAGAGAATGATTTTCTTTATACCATACCATATACTGCTTTTTATCCTGTGTAGTTTATCCTGTATAGTTACATTGTTTACCTAAGCTTAGGAAGCAAAATTAAACTTTGGAAGTAAAATAATTATTGGGAAACCTACTCCAGAGAAGACTGCTGTGGTCCTTTATATGTTTTTTTATATCTTCTGTATTTATATCCAGTTGTGGTGTATATTTAAGAGGTAAAGCAAGAGTACTAAATACAGTACAACTTATGTGTGTATTTGTAGAAAATGTGTAAACAGAAGTAAGAAACACCCCCTTTGGGGTAGACTCCCTGTTAATTATTTTTACATCCAATCTTAATTTCACTTTGATTATAAATTCATGAATTGACTTACCAATACTCCATATTGAAACAAAAACTTAACTTAAACAGTAATTTTTTTTTATTTGTAAGCAGTTAATTACCTGGTAAAATGATAAATAGTACAAAAGGGTACGATAAAAACCAAGCCTTAGTTGTAACCCCAGGTCTTAATCTCTGCTTATCACATCCCAAAGCTAACACTCTGATGAGTTCTTACATATCCTTCTAGAAACTTTCCATGGAAACACAGCTATATTTACATGTTCTAAGATTTGTGTATATCATTCACATATCTTTTTAATCACAGGTGAAAGCAAACTACTCACTATTCTACAACTACTTTTCTCCACTTGATGCATCCCTGTTACCATTACCATTTCTTACCAGCAGATATGTCTCATAGTTGCAGAGTATTGCATTATGTGGGTGCTTCATAATTGACTTTTATCAGCTCCCAGTTATTAATGGTCGTTTAAGCTACTTGTAGTCTTTTTTTCATTTTTAGTAGAGACACAAGAACACCCTTGTACAAATGTCTGTGTGCATATAAGCACATAAATTTGTAAATACATTCTTATTGGAGTATTTGTTTGGTAGAGCTGCTACTGCTAAATAACACAGACTTGGTGACTTAAAGAACAAAAATTTATTTTCTCACAGTTATGAAGGCTAAAAGTCCAAGATCAAGTTATAATTTCTCCTAAGGCCTCTTCAGCTTGTAGGTATCTACCTGCTTGCTGTGTCCTCACGTGGCCTTTCCTCTGTGTCCTTGATGTCTCTTCCTCCTCTGATAAGGACATCAGTCCTACTGGTTTAGGGCCCTGCCCTTATGACCTCATTTATCCTTAATTATCTTACAGAGGCCCTGTTGCCAAACAGCTACATCGGGGGTTAGAGACTCAACATAGGACTTAGGGAGGGACAATTTATTGGATAGCAAGGCAAAAGGTGTCTACTTTAAAATTCTGACATTATCCAATTTCTCTCCAAAAAGCTTGCCCTAGTTTATAGTCCTGTCAACAATTTGTGGCAGCCTATTTTTTAATAGAAATATAATAATTAAAATTTTCTTCTGAATAATTAGAACATGTTCTAAATGGCAGTATTATATATCACAACTTATTTTGATAGTTGACAGACTACTTATTAGAAGATCTCGTGGCCGGGCTCAGTGACTCAGCCTGTCATCCCAGCACTTTGGGAGGCCGAGGTGAGAAGATTGCCTGAGCCCACGGGTTCGAGACCCACTCAAGCAACTTGGTGAGACCTCGTCTCTACAGTAAATCAAAAAATTAGCCAGGCATAGTAGCCTGTAGTTCCAGCTACTTGGAAAGCTGAGGCGGAAGGATCACTTGAGCCCAGCAGGTCGAGGTTGTGGTGGCTGGGAGTATGCCACTGCCCTCCAGCCTAGGTGACAGACTGAGACTCTTACTCAAAAAAAAAGATCTCCCTTCTAACAACTGAGTATTATTCATTGAAAGACGTGAAGAATTGACCTTCATGTTGTTGAAAAGGAAGAGATTAAACCACTTCTCTCACATGTAGGGCATTAAGGAACAATTAGATGTTTTCCCACTAATTTGAAAGGTTGTTTTTACATGGTAGATACAGGCACTGAGCACCTTTAGAAGCAATAACCTTTGACACATTGCATTTTTGCTGTCTTTTTTAGTAGCTACTAATACATGTTGACTTGTCATTTTGGATTGTAATTAAGGCAAAATGGTGAAGGCCTGGAATATGAAGAGTTTTGACAGATGATAAGTATTTCTAGTTATACAGATTGAGCATCACTAATCCAAAAGTCCAAAATCCAAAACGCTCCAAAATTTGAAACTTTTGAGCATTGCATGATAGACAGCATAAATGATAAATTTCACACCTGCCCTCATGTACCCAAACTTTGATTCATACAAAAAATTATTTAAAATATTCTATAAAATTACCTTCAAGCTATGTATATGCCGTGTATATGAAACATAAATAAATTTTGTGTTTAAACATGGGAGTCCCATCCCCAGGGTATCTCATTATGTATATGCAAATACTCCAAAATCCAAAATATTTCTGGTGCCAAGAATTTTACATAAGGTATACTCAATCTGTATTATGAAAGATAATATATTTGATACAAATAAAATTAGGCAGAGTTAGAATTGCTTTAACTTATTGGAATAAAGGTATAATAATATCCTTTTGAAATCTTGGCTCTAGATATTTACATTGTTGCAAATGAAGAAGGACAGCAATTTGCATTAAAGCTTCATAGACTAGGAAGAACCTCCTTTCGAAATCTGAAAAACAAGCGTGATTACCATAAACACCGTCATAATGTGTCTTGGCTTTATTTATCTCGTCTATCTGCCATGAAGGAATTTGCCTATATGAAGGTATTATGAAAATAATTTTGTGTTTTTTTAGCCAAACAATACATGTATCTCAGGGGCCTTAGTAACAAGAATCAGTCTGTTGTCCCTAGAGTCTAACCTCAGACTCAGTTTCTATAGGCAATCACTTTTAACTCTGTTGATTATTAAAAACGTTGTTGTTTTAAAAAGTTGAATTATTGAAAATTGTTTCAGTATGTGAACGGTTGTTTCTTAGAAGTTCAATTTGTTGTTCTTTGAGTAGATTATTTTAATCTATATGCTTAAATATTTAGTAATCATGGGAGAATTTTTAGAACAATGTAAGTAAGTGATACTGCTACCATATATTTTATATATTTCTAGTCTTATGCTAATAGCTTGAATTATGTGATAGTCAATCAGTAAGTATACAGCTTGATAGGAATCACACATTTTCCCAAAACCATATTATGTGTTCTCCATGGTATTTATGTTGAAGGTAGAGGAGGGTAACCTGGTTACATATACTTCACTCCTTAGATACATTTGTTATTTTCCTAAGAGAGAAAGAATAAAATAAAGATTAAGCAATAGTGTAAGGGTTAGGCTACAGCACAAGTTCTAGATGAATATTGACAATCTTTAATTGTCACTTGTGCTCTTGAACTGCTACAGCATGTTCAGAATGTCTGCACTGGCGGGGGGGGGGGGGAACCTCTTGAAAAACAAATGAAACAAAATTTCTGAGAAGTGAGGAGTCATTCACTTCCTGTCCACAGAAGGTAAAAGGTAGAGTAGACAACCTTTTAAAATTAAGTACTGCAGTATTATGGGGTGAAGGAGTGGATACCAAAGAAATAATCAGTATGATCTATGTCTTAAAGTTGGGAAGATAATACAGACACACATGAAACAAAAAACAGTTTAAAAAAATATGCTGAGTTTTGAGAAACCTCAGAGTAATTTATAAAGGAGGTTTCATGCAATGAGTGGGAGTTGAATAGAGACGTAGAACTTGGAAATTATTTGACTCCAAGGAGAATGCAGTGCATTTGGCAGAGATGCCAGTATGGGTAAAGACATGAATGGGTGAGCCCTGTACATTTAGGTGACACTGAGGAGAGTGTGCTGACGGCACTTCTGGGTGCTTATTGGAGAGAGTGTTGAGAGAATTAGGGCTGCACAAGTGGGTTAAAGAGAGTTTTAAAACCAGGAAAGTCCGGGCTTGGTGGACTCCTGGACTCAGGCAGTCCTCTTTCTTCGGCCTCCCAAAGTGGCGGGATTACAGGCATGAGCCACCGTGCCGGGCCTTCAGTGTGTTACTTTTAAATAGAAAATAAGCTGGGCTCAGTGCTCAGCCTGTAATCCCGCACCTTTGGGAGGCTGAGGTGAGTGGATTGCCTGAGCCCACGGGTTCAAGACCCGCCTGGGCAGCGAGACCTCATCTCTACAATACATCAAAAAATCAGCCAGGCGTGGTAGTGCATGCCTGTAATTCCGGCTACTTGGAAGGTTGAGGCGGAAGGATCGCCAGAGCCCAGCAGTTCGAGGCTGTGGTGGCCGGGAATGGCCACTGCACTCCAGTCTGGATGATAGAGTGAGACTCCAACTCAAAAATAAATAAATAAATAAAATAAAAAATTTAATAGAAAATAAGCCGGGCTCGGTGGCTCAGCCTGTAATCCCAGTGCTTTGGGAGGCCGAGGCAAGTGGATTGCCTGACCCCATGGTTTCGAGACTCGCCCAGGCAAACTTGTCGAGACCTCGTCTCTACAATAAATTAAAAATTAGCCGGGTGTGGTAGCACGCACCTGTAGTTCTGGCTACTTGGAAAACTGAGGCGGAAGGATCGTTGGAGCCCCGCAGGTCGAGGCTGTGGTAGCCGGGAGCATGCCACTGCATTCCAGTCTGGACGACAGAGTGAGACTCCATCTACAAAAAAAAAAAAAAACCAGGAAAGGTTGTTCAGGTCAAAAGGAATATTTACAGCCATTGTAGATTTTTTTAAATTATGTTTTGGCATGAGCATCTTAGTCTGATATTGGTACACAGAATAGGTTAGGTAGGTGGCAAGACATGGAACGCTGGTTGAGTAATCAGGCACAAATGACAGAGGCCTACATAGAAATGCTAGCATTCCAGATGGCAGGGGCATAAATCTAAGGTATTTTAAAGGTAGTAATAACAGAACTTTGTAAACAAGATAGGAGAAGTCAATGCATAGGGAAAAAGATGTGTAGATGATCTAAATATTTGACTCAGATTACAACAGTGTATATGTTTGTCACATAATATATTTGTATTGCATATTATGGTCTGGAGAAAAGCTCAGTGCTCTAAATGTCTGATCTGGTGGAATGCCATATTTCCTAATATACCAGAAGACAGTATTGTCTAAGTCACAGTTTGCTTTCATTTTAATATTTTGAGCACATTTCAACAAATAACAGAGACTTACAACATAAGAGAGGAAATAGCCCAAGAAACCATGAACTTCTTGAGGACAGACCCTTCTTAATACTCATTTTTGTAGCCCGAACACAGTGCTTAATAAATGTTCATTTTTAGTGGAAAGGTGAATTCACACAAACCAGTTTTAAATTATTTTTTGTACAGTTATTCTATTCATTGAATAAAAAAGCCATGAATAAATAACTATTTGGTAACTGTAATTTTATAAAGCCTTGTTGTGTGTTTTTCTTCTGATTGTGGGAATGTACATTTTTTTTTATTGTTCTTTAAAATGTAATGACCACCAGGCTCAGTGGCTCAGCCTGTAATCCCACCACTTTGGGAGGCTGAGGTGAGTGGATTGCCTGAGCCCATGGGTTCAAGACCTGCCTGGGCAACTTGGCAAGACCTCATCTCTATAGTAAATCAAAAATTAGCCAGGCATGGTAGTGCGCGCCTATAGTTCCAGCAACTGGAAAGGCTGAGACGGAAGAATTGCTGGAGCCCAGCAGGTCAAGGCTGCAGTGGCCGGGAGCGGCCACTGCAATCCAGTCTGGGTGACAGAGTGAGACTCCAACTCAAAAAAAAAAAAAGGTAATGGCCACTTCATTAGCTTATACCTGTTTTGCATGTTTTAGGCATTGTATGAGAGGAAATTTCCAGTTCCAAAGCCAGTTGATTACAATCGCCATGCAGTGGTCATGGAGCTTGTAAATGGTTATCCACTGTAAGTATTCATTTTTCTTTGAAGTCATGGAGTCCAATAAATGAATTTAAAGTTCATGTTTTTTAGTAAGCTTTTTTTAATTAATGAAATACTGTTTCTAGGAGGTTAGAAAATGACACAAAGGAATAGACTCAAAGACAAATTGAAAACTCAGTTTCATTCTTACTATATGGACTTTAATCTTTGTTATTCATTCATTCAGTATTTCTTGAGTCTTATTACATGCCAGGCACTTTTAAGCTGAACAGTGAATAAAACAAAGTTCCTGCCCTCATAGAACTTATTCTGATAGAAGGAGACATGCAATAAATAACTGAAGAAGGAAATATATATCAGGTGATAGGAGTGCTATGGATAAAAATAAAGCAGGGTATGGGATAGGAAGTACTAAGAGACAGTAGAAAACTGCTATATCAAATTTTAACTGAAATGGGAAGCCATTGGAGTAAGAGAGCAAAGATCAGATCACTCTGCTATATTAAGAATAGACTTAAGGGAGAAAAAGACAGAATTAGGAATTCAAATTAAGAGACTGTTGCAATAATCTAGGAAAGAGATGGTAGTAGCTCTGATCACAGTGATAGTCATGAAGATGGTGAAAGTGGTCAGATTCTGAAAGTGTTTTTCGGGTTGAACCAACATTGTTTGATTTATTTGGAATAGGATATAGATGTGAAAGAAGGGGGAGTCAGTGATGACAGCAAGGTTTTTGGCCTGAATAACAAATTAATTGACGGGATAAAATTGCTGTTTTCAAAAACTAGAAAGCTACAGGAAGAGCAGTTTAGAGTTGGAGGGTAGAGCAGTATCAGAGACTCAGTTTGGGGCATGATAAGTCTGAGATGCCTGGGAGTTCAAGAAGTCTAGATTGAAATCAGTATGTAAGCCGGGCTCGGTGGCTCAGCCTGTAATCCCACGCCTTTGGGAGGCTGAGGTGAGTGGATTGCCTGAGCCCGCGGGTTCGAGACCCGCCTGGGCAGTGAGACCTCATCTCTACAATAAATCAAAAAATCAACTGGGCATGGTAGCGCATGCCTGTAATTCCGGCTACTCGGAAGGCTGAGGCGGAAGGATCACTGGAGCCCAGCAGGTCGAGGCTGCGGTGGCCGGGAGCGGCCACTGCACTCCAGTCTGGGCGACAGTGAGACTCCAACTCAAAAAAAAAAAAGAAATCAGTATGTATATGGTATTTAGAACCATGACCCTAGATGATCACCAAGAGCAAGTCTGAATAAGAGAAAATAGGTCATAGGATTGACTTTTGAAGAACTCCAAAATATAGAGGTAAGGGAAAAGATGAAAGCTCAACAGAAGAGACTAAGAGTATGATCTGTGAGGAAAGAGAAATGCCTGCACAATATGATGTTTCAAGAGCTAAATGAAAAAAATGTTTCAAGGAGGGCAAAGAGGACATCTGATACACCAGATAAAAGGAGGACCAAGATTGACCTTTAGATTTAGTAGCATGGAAGTCATTGATCTCAATAAGTGCTATTTTTTGGAATAAAGTAGATAAAAACCTGTTTGAATTGGGTTTATTAGAGAGCAGGAGGAAAGAAATTGGAAAAAGCACATGTAGAAGAGTTTGGCTATAAATCAAAGAAATAAGGTTGTGGAAAGGAGCAAGGTGTGGCTTTTTAGTTTTGTAATAGATGGAGGACGTTGCGTTTGTATGCTGATAGAAATGAGAAAGCTGCTGGGGAGAATGACATGAAATAATATATATGCATGCACACATACATGCTTTGGTTAAAACCATGGATCAGTTTAAATAGCTTATTTTCTTATAATACTTTCAGATATCAGATACACCATGTTGAAGATCCTGCATCAGTATATGATGAAGCTATGGAACTAATTGTCAAACTTGCAAATCATGGGCTGATTCATGGAGACTTCAATGAATTTAATCTCATTTTGGATAAAGATGACCATATCACCATGATTGATTTTCCACAAATGGTTTCAACTTCTCATCCCAATGCTGAATGGTATATGCTAACATTGATTATGGATGTGGGTGTGTTTGTGCCTGATGTAATTATTTTTTATTTATAATTTTTCAATTTTGTGATACTGACATTTAGGTTAATAACTTTTGAAGTGGCTGATGTTACTATTATAAAAATTTGTGACTGGATGCAAGGGCTCACAGCAGTTTGAGAGGCTGAGGAGAGGGGATCACTTGAACACAGAAGTTTGGGACCACCCTGGGCAGTATATATAGTGAGACCCCCATCTCTACAAAAAATTAGCCCGGCATGGAGATGCAAGCCTGTAGTCCCAGCTACCGAGGAGGCTGAGATGGGAGGACCATTTGAGTTCAGGAGTTTGAGGCTGCGGTAAACCAGAATCATGCCACTGCACTCCAGCCTGGGTGACACTTAGCCCTGTTTCAAAAAAACAAAACAAAAAATTGGTTTTTTTATCTAAAGGATCTCCAGCAACTAGAATTTTTCCCACAAGAGAATTTTTCTTATCGCTCAGTATTATGAAGGGGGAAAATGTACTTTGATTCAATTTTTAAAACCTATTAATTAAGCATATGCTATGTATTAGAAATCTGAAGAAACTGCCTTCCTGTCTTATTTTTCTAAACAGTGAAGATGGCATCAAAATAATTTTAATTACTCTTGTAATTTGACAGACCTTAGCCATGAAACCCTTTGTTCAAATATATTTTTAGGCAGAAGACCAGTTACCAAAACAGATAAAAGCTGGCCCAGAAGAAGTAATGAAGAAGGGACCCCTAGAACTACTGTGTACTTTTTTGCCTTTTCCCTTTTCTGTCTGCTTCATGGTTACCTCCAAGAGATGTTCAACAATCATAACTCAGTAATCTTGATGGCCTGAGTAAAAGTTGCATTGTTGTACTAGACTCTGTTGCCAGACCAATGATAATTATCTTTTGTCTTTTTTTTTTTTTTTCTCATTTTATTATTAGAAAAGAATTCATGTAAAACTTCATCTCAGGCCTGTCACAGTGGTTCACAGTTGTAATTCTAGAGCTTTGTGAGGCTGAGGCGGGAAGCCAGGAGTTTGAGACCAGCCTGGACAACGTAGCGAGACCCCATATTTTAAAAAAAAAATTAGCTGAGTGTGGTGACACCCAACTATAATCCTTTCTACTCAGGAGGCTGAGGCAGGAGGATTGCTAGAGCCTAGGAGTTTAAGGTTGCAGTGAACTAAAATCAGGCCACTGCACTCCAGCCTGGGCAACAGAACAAGATTATGACATTCCAAGTTTAGGCTGCTTTGTTCTGTAGTCTATGGGGAGACATTGATTTAATTTGAATTTTTGTGAACTAGTGCTGGGCAAAGGCAAATGTGCTAAGCACTGGAGATTGATATATAAATAAGCCCCATATCTGCTCTTGAAGAAGTTACGGTTTAATAGAGAAGATGTGAACATACATATATAAAATGATCATTTTAAAATTTTTCAAGATTTTTCCCAGGATGCCGTGCGAGCAAAGAAAGGAAGCAATGTCTTCCTATTTCCAAATTTCGTCTTTCTCAAGGAGATAGTCAGATTCATATCATCCTTCCTTAATTCACCCTTATCTGAAAATCTAGAGAATCAAATCTGGTATTGCTGCTTTATGGTGTCAAAAAAAAGCAACCTGATACTCAGAAATCTTTTCTGCTCTTGACCCAGATTAACATATCTTCGGATCATTTTTATAAGCCAGGCATTATTTATTTCTCTGGGTGTTATTGCAGATCAGCTGATGAATAATAAAGATACGAAACCATAATTCAGTAGTCTTGTCATTAATCTCTTTTATTTTCAGCTTTCCCAGTTGAACAGGTATTTTCATGAGTGCTACTGATAGGAGGCAGAGCTAGACAGACTGGGGACTAAAAAGGATTAGTAGAAACCTGTCCCCCACTGTAGGCCCATAATCTCTTCTAGTATATCTTACTATTACTAAGTAACGGTGTGGGGGAAACCTTGAGTTTCTAACCATAGGGACTATATGGCATTGATACTTTGAGACTTCCTCAGGTTTTTTTTTTCCTAAACACTGGCAACTGATTTGTCTCTTTTTTTTTCTTTTGTGTAATATCATTTTCTCCTTTATGTAAGGAGCAAGAGTACTGTAACAAATAATAAGGATATTATCGTTGGATAATAAAGAAAAAGATAAACAACAAAGGCTGTGTCAAAAATGACTCTTGATTTTGCAGGTATTTTGACAGAGATGTTAAATGCATTAGAGATTTCTTCATGAAACGTTTCGGCTATGAAAGTGAGCTTTATCCAACCTTTAATGATATCAGGTTTGTACTCAGCATTGCTTAAAATGAAGGGATCCTTTAAATACCTGATTTATTTGTTTTTAAAAAATTAACATTTTCTTCTAAAAAGAATTTCCAAATAGTGACCTTCGACACATTATGGTTGCTGTTGAGTATCATTGCTTTATAGTAGTACATAAATGAAATTTCAAAACTTGAAAATACCTGCCTTTGGTCCACTAAAGTATTGCTATTGAATTTTGGAAAGGAACATATCTAGTTTCTTATAAGTTCAGGAACTTTTATTCCATTTGGATGCTATGTAAGTATCCCTTTAATAAGGAATCAAACCATGTGGTTTTGAAATTTATGTTTTTCTTTATTTGGAACAGAAGCTATCTTTAATTGATTCTTGGGACATTATGAATATTCTCAAAGCTAAATTTTCTCATATTTTATACATTTAAGATATTTTCTGATTTGGAATGAGTCATATTTAAAATAAATCTTTAGCTCTCCGATAGTTAATCTACTAAATTAACATCACCTGGCATTTCTATAACCTGTCTATTAATATTAGTATTCTTCAGTCATATTATTTTCTTAAAATGACAGCCAGCATATATCTTTCATGTTGTGTACCTAAGTAACTAAGTAATGCATTGTAGGCAAAGAACGATCTTATACATATATAAACTATTAAACTCACTTGAGAATCATAATTTATCAGAGTAATAAGTATGTACTCATCTCAAGTATTTTTTCCCTCTTTCAACATGTGACATTTTTTTCCTAGGAGAGAGGACTCTCTCGATGTGGAAGTTTCTGCCAGCGGCTACACAAAGGAAATGCAGGCAGATGATGAACTGCTTCATCCAGCAGGTCCAGATGATGGAGATATTGAAACAGACGAGGGTTCTGACTTCTCATTTTCTGATGAAGAGGTGACAGAAAAAACACAGGTTTGTAGGTCAGAAAATGAAAGTGAACAGAACTCCATGGATAAATCCAGCGGCTGCTGTGGCAGGTCATCCAGAGTCCTTGAGCAACTACAGGAAGACAGTTTATCCAAGGAGAGTGCTGGAGCACACGGTTTTGAGATGACTGAATTCAGTCGAGCTTTAGGAGAAATAAAAGGGCAGGTTGTCAAAAACAATTCTGTAACTGAATTTTCTGAGGAGAAAAGCAGAACTGAAAATCACACCAGGCAAAATGGTCAGACAGGTCAAGAAGGAATCCCTGCTGACTTTGACGACTATGAAGATGAATGCCCTCATCTGATTGCCTTGTCATCATTAAACAAAGAATTCAGGCCTTTCAGGTATAGATTTCTATTGATTGTTTTTTATTTTAATCTTGGGACCAGTACCTTCTTTGATTCTGGCAAATGAATGTTTTTTTCAATGATGTAGCACTATTTGTAAAATGAAGGCCAAATAACTTTTTATTGTTAAAACTCTTAAGTATCTTCTTTTTCAATTGATGCCATTCTAGGCAACCTGTAGATTAAATTTCAAGTAATTCTGTCTTAAAATACAAACGGGTGACTTTCAAAGAATTAATGTAGGTCTCTTGATAAATTTATCAGGTTTTAGATGGATGAGTTGTTTGTTATATATTTTTATAATTATACATATGTATGTTTGGGCTGTAAAGGCATGTAAATATGTAAAGCATGAAGTAAATATGCTTTGTACATAAAATAGCTACAGGAGATTTTCTCTGGTGCTCTGAGCTTTCTGTCCTTTGTTCCTGTACGGTTAAAATTATTTAATGGTATTATGTTTTAAGATTTTTTTTGGCAAATATCAGTCAGCTCAGTTTAAATTATCAAAAGTTCTGGATTTGGTATTTTTAGATTTGGGATAGTTTATCCAGAATCAGACCAGAGTTTAATGAAATGCTGATTTTATTTATTTCAAAATAGTAATATGAGAGTTAAAACTAGATTGGCAGTATATTAACTAAGCATTTTCCAGTACATGTTTGGACTTATATCTTAAGGCTGCCTTTATTTTTACAGTTCATGAAGCAAAACATGAGAATTTTGTTTCTATTCCATATGGTTCTGTATCCTGCATCTCAGGGCTACTGCCATTTGAATAATAAACTTGGCAAATTAAAGTAGATGCTTAAGAAAAAAGTCAGAGGTTCAGTATCAGTCTGGATTATTTGGAGAAACAGAACCAATAGGAGATTTGCTATAAGGAAATGGCTCATGTGGTCATGGAGGCTGAGAAGTCACATAATCTGTAGTCAGCAAGCTAGAGACCCAGAAGAGCCGGTAGTATAAATTCCAACCAAGTTTGAAAGCAGGACGAACACAGTGTCCCAGCTCACAGGCAGACGGTGAATTCTCTATTACCCCAACCTTTTGTTCTAAGACTTTCAGTGGATTGGTTGAGGCCCACCCACAGTGGGGAGGGCTGTACTCAGTTTACTGATTCAGAAACACTTTCACAGACACACCCAGATTAACGTTTAACCAAATATTTGGCGCCCTGTGGCCCAGTCAAGCAGACACACAAAATTAAATACCACAATAATAGAAGAAAATCTACATAGGGTTAAATATAGTCTTTTAAGCTAAAAATTGGAATAATAGTTTATTCTCACTTTCCAGACACATGCTAGGCAAAACTCATTCAAAGTAGAAGCAAAATAGCAGTTGTTGCTGAAAAGTATGAACTGGTAGGAGTTAATGTTGTCTGAGTTCTTAGGCATCATATATACTAAAACTTTGAGCCATGTAAAAAACAAGTTAGACAGTGTCTGTGGCTGCAGTTTTTCCACTGTAGCAGAGCTGACTTGTGTAGAGTACTGTACTGTCTCTGTTATGTCTTCTGTTGTCTGGGAAGGTAGCAAAAACAAATGTCTCAGAAATTTAGATAGTGAAAGACAGATTTGTAGTATAGTTCATTGAAAAAAGAGGAGAGAATTAGGAGAAAAAGACATGAATTGTGGGGAAGTGATAAATTTTGATTGGCAAAACATTCTACCATTTTGAAATTTTGATAGTAACTATAACTGTCAGAATGCTGGAAAATGAAAATTGTCAATATATTGGGCTAAATTGTAGGTGATTTTTCCTTCACAGGAATTTTAAATACAGTGATCTTTCTATGGTATTTTATGTCTTCAGTTTTACTACATATAAGAAAAATATAAATTAACTTATTAAAAAGTGACTATTACATTATAAAAGTCAACTAGATAATTTGTGGGTTTTTTAACATTTTAGAGATGAAGAAAATATGGGAGATATCAAGCAATATAGAACAAGAACTCTGAGTATCACTTCTTCAGGCAGTGTCGTAAGCTGTTCAACAATTCCTCCAGTAAGTAGTCATTCAACATTTACCAAATGTTTATTAGGTCATTACTGTGGACAATGAGCTCAGTCATTGTGAGGATTATAAGGTGTATAAGACAGCCTCAGTCTTGAACCTTAGATGTTAATGGTGTAATTATAGTAAGAACAAATTTAGTAATGTAGGAGAGAGGGCTCGCTTTTAGTTGGAATGATCAAAGGTTTCAAGAAAAAGATGGGCATAAGTTAACTTGAACTTGAAAGAAAAAAATCAAAAAAATTTAGATTTAAAGAGGACTTTGTAGATTCTTAGGGGTTAGTCCCTTCATTTTGGCAGTGAAAGCCCAGATAGGTAATGTAATTTTGCTCAGTTACCTAGTTAGTGACTGGTGTGTGAAGGTGCACCAGCTTCACTAGCTAGTTTGCTCTTAAATGTTGAAAGAGAAGAATAGTAAACTTTAAAAAATTTTGTATTTCAAGTTTTTGTTGGCCGCTTTGTCCAAAACAAGAAGAGCAATTACAAGAGATTTTTTAAAGGGCTGTTTCCTGGACTGGATAATTTATGAGCACAAATAGTCTAATTCCTAGTGAGCAGCTTTTCTGCCTGCCAACCTTCTTTTGGAACTACCCAGAAAGAAGAGTCATTTTAGAGATGAGTATGTCCCCCAGAACAAAGCCACTCTTACTGGCCCATGTAAGTGTGTGTTTGTCACTCCTGTTATCTGTCAATATTACAGAGACATGTCACTCTTGCCATATGAGAATGACATGAATTTTCAAATATCATAATTTCTTTGAAGAATGAAACAAAGTTACTATTGGTTTTCTTATTACTTTTCTGAAGCTTTTGGTAGTCAACAAACACTAGTGTCTAAGCCTATAGCATACCACATTACTTCCTGGCTTTTATATTTTGATATTTTAATTTCAAATTTAGTAGTTTGATTGAACTTTCTAAAGAATTATTTTCTGTCCACCATTAAGAGAGTAAGACAGCATGTATCAAGTTTTTTTCATAAATTAAGATTACATAATTAGTGTATTGGATTTTTTTTCCTTCTGCTTAAGGTATTAAGTTGAGTACCACTGATACCAGTTTTTAGCAATAGCTTTACTCATTGTGAGCAAAAGAAGAAAGTCAGTTTAGAAGGTGAAAAAAGGAGGAAATAAAATTATTAGATGGAATGTGAACTTAAAAGGACAGAAAATAACTTCTTTTTTCTGAACTTCTTATTCCAAGTTCAAAAATATTGTCAGTAAGTTAAAATATATGTCCTGTGTTAGGCAATATGGGTTGTTTACAAAATTAAATGAGAGCAATCAAAAACAAGGTAAAAATAGCAGTACCAGCCGGGCTCAGTGGCTCAGCCTGTAATCCCGCGCCTTGGGAGGCTGAGGTGAGTGGATTTCCTGAACCCAGAGGTTCGAGATCCGCCTGGGCAACTTGGTGAGACCTCATCTCTACAATAAATCGAAAAATGAGCTGGGCGCAGTAGCACGCACCTGTAATTCCAGCTACTTGGAAGGCCGAGGCAGAAGGATCGCCGGAGCCCCAGCAGGTCGATTGCACTACAGTCTGGGCGACAGAGTGAGACTCCAACTCAAAAAAAAAAAATAGCAGTACCGTATTTTATGGCCCACTTTTAGTTCTGGGGCTTTTACTTGATATTAGAAACATTTAGAGCTTATTAGACTAATAAAAGGTGAGATTCTAGATATGTAATTGGTTCCATATAATCTTCCTGAGGGTCTGATAATTTACCTGATTTTCTGAACATAAAATTGAAATCTATGAAGCATCTGTTAATTATACGAACAGCTAAAAATCTTTTGTGTGTTATCAACCTTTCTTAGGGATTTCTAATGGTAGCCTGGATATCACTTCATAGTAGCATACCCACTCTTTGCTTTGGTATTTTCTACGCTTATTGGGATTTATTTAAACCTACTCTCCCCCCCCTTTTTTAATTCTCAGAATCAAAACGTAATAGTTTTTTATCTAATGACAATGGCGTAAAATTGGTAATTGCACATAAAGAAAAGTTAGATTACTGATTCATGCTACTTCTTTAAATTTTAAGTTATCCTCTCTTCTGTATTTGAAGATGATGGCACTGACATTGTCAAGAGGTCAGGTTAAAGTGGTGTTTGCATGTTTTAACCATTATTCATTTTACTGTTTGATCCTACTTTCATTTCCCATCTCTTATAAGCAGCAGCATGAACCTAAAAGCATAGGGTCAGGCCTTTAGCTCTTACCTCTTATACAATGTTATATGAATTACATTATAAAGTACAAATTTGTCTTCTAAGAAGGAAGGGAAAAAAGATCTCTTCAACCTACCTTGATCAATAAAAGGGTTTCTCTCTGTCTAATTACCTGAAACAAATTCATCATCTTAACTCTGCATTCTCTGGGAAAGATTATCACACTGTTTTCTATGGGACCACATTTCATTTTGTTAAAAGACCAAGAGAAGACGTACTGTTTTGTTACTTCCATTACTTGACAATTTTGTTTTAGAATCTGTACAAAGACAATAATTTAAGATTGATTTTTCTCCTTAAAATACTTTTTATAGTTTTTACTTTGGACCATTTATGAACTCTGTCTTTTGTAATATGTAACAGAATTAAATTATAATTAGAGCATTTTAACAATGAGAAAATTGGAATCCAGACAGGTTATGTGACTAAAAATAAGATATATTGCTTTTTAATAAATATGTATGTATGTGGCCACCACTTCCTAGGACATTTTTGCTTTACAACAAAAAAAAGAATATGATTTGTATTAATTTTATATACTCCCTAAAATAAAGAAAAATTTTTTTAGTGTTTCACCATTTTTTATATATACTAAGTGTGACTGTTCTCCCTCTTTTTTTACTTTAAAAAATAATCTTTGACCATTGTCTTACTAAGTATGGCCACGTGCTCTTTGAGCTATGGCCAGGCCATGTTTCCTGGCTTTGGCCCCCTCCCCTACCTTGGGGAGGTGAATCTTTTCTCTCTCTGTCTCTCTCTCTCTCTCTCTCTCTCTCTTTAACTTACTTTTAAATAAACTATATTTTCTAATCTAAAAATAATCTTTGTAAATTGTTCTGAACTTGGAGGCAGGAGCATGCACATTAACCTGTCATCTCTCTCTCTCTCTCTCTCTCTCTCTCTCTCTCTCTCTCTCTCTCTCTCTCTCTCTCTCTTTAACTTACTTTTAAATAAACTATATTTTCTAATCTAAAAATAATCTTTGTAAATTGTTCTGAACTTGGAATCAGGAGCATGCACATTAACCTGTCATCTGCTTATTTTGCTTGGCATGTTTATCTTTACAGTCTCATCAAAGCAAAGAACTAAGGGAAAATGCAAGCAGGTCATTTAGAAAAGAAATTGGGTTTTGTTTTCCCTTAGAAATATCCTGTAGGCCTCTACTACTGCAGTCTAAACATGGTGCACTTGCCACTGTCATCTTCGAGGGACTTTTCATCTTTCTCTTGGTTACTGCTTTATTTAGCAATATAGATGCTAGTTGTTTTTTGAATAACATTTTTGGGGGCCTTTCATTACTAAAAATGCCTTTATTCTGTCCTCACACTTGATCGGGAGTTTAAATATTAGGATTGTGCAATACGTTTCCTTCAGAATTCTGAAGGCATTGTTCTCTTGTTTTCAAGCTTACAGTGTTATATTTAAGGAAATACTGTTCTGATTCCAGAATCTGGGCTTCTCCTTAAGCGAGGAGGCAGTGATAGTTGCCTAGCTTCCTGGGGCTGGAGACAGTCCTGACATTTGCCTGATTTACTGCTTTCAGTCCTAAAACTAAGGGAATATCAGGTGTTTCTGGGGCGTGGGCTTTCCTGGATTTAGCCGAGGTGCATCTCATAGGATATGAGCCTCTAGAAACTTGAGTTCTCTACTCTGTTTTCTCCTCTCTTCTTGTACTTTTCCTCCTACTAAGAATCATTAGACTAAAACAAAGAGGGATAACTTGTTAAAGCCAGTTGATTATAGTGACTTAATGTAAAATCCAAAGTCTACATATAATTAATAGATCCACAGCTTCGCATTATATGTATACAAACTCAAGAAACAGTGCGATAGGCAGGCTCATTCTTCCAGCCCTTTTCTGCCTCTCAAATCCATTGTGCTTTAATTTTTTAACTTAACAGAGTCTTAATAAATGCTTCTTTGTGTCCAGCATATTGGAGGGCATATTAAGAAGAACTTTGCTTCTACATAGAAGAACTTTGCAGTGTTTATCTTCCTTTTTTTTTTTGAGACAAGTTGGATGATGCAAGATTATGCACATTTAAATAACAGGCTGTAGCGCTTTAGATGAAGAAAGGTCATTGTGAACTGAATGTTTTACATTTTTTATTTATCGTGTAAGTCATGTGACATGCACAGCCTGTGTCTTAACTAATAAGTAATTTGAATTTATGATCATTCACTATAGGAAAGCATTCCACAATTCCAAAAAAACTGTGTGAAGACTTGTCTATGAGTAACTCCTACCATCAAGTCATTTCTGCACTTGAAGTTTTAAAGACATTCTTGGATATATTGAGCAATAGTGAATGCTTTCAAAAACTCCCCATTACAAAACTGTGCCTGCTTTTAACCTAGAAAGCAGAGAAACAAGTAGTTTTCATCTTCTTTGTTTCATTAGTTTTCATTATGAACACTAGGTGGCACTATGGCTTTTTTTTTTTTTTTTTTTTTTTTTTTTTGAGTTGGAGTCTCACTCTGTCACACAGACTGGAGTGCAGTGGCATGCTCCCGGCCACTACAGTCTCAACCTGCTGGGCTCCGGTGATCCTTCCACCTCAGCCTTGCAAGTAGCTGAACTACGGGCATGCACTACCACACCCAGCTAATTTTTTAATTTATTGTAGAGATGAGGTCTCGCCAAGTTGCCCAGGCGGGTCTTGAACCCGTGGGCTCAGGCAATCCACTCACCTCAGCCTCCCAAGTGCGAGATTACAGGCTGAGCCACTGAGCCCGGCTGGCAATTTGTTATTTAAAGAATTGTGACTGTGGCATACTCTGCTGTATAATCTGTGTTTCTGTTTGGAATTTAATGTCTCCTATTTTATAGCAATATCCTTATAGTACTGTCAGTGTTTAGAATTTTTAAAATTGATGTTCTCAACATATAAATTTAAAAGATATTAGCAGTATAAGTCTTTGTTTTATAGAGTATCTACTTCTTATCAAAAATAGCTAACTGTCATTGATACTAATTTACGAAATCTTTCCAGGAACTGGTGAAACAGAAGGTGAAACTTCAGTTGACCAAACAGCAAAAATCAGCTATCAGACGCCGATTGCAGAAAGGAGAAGCAAATATATTTACCAAGCAACGGAGGGAAAACATGCAAAATATCAAGTCAAGTTTGGAAGCAGCTAGCTTTTGGGGAGAATAATATATTTAAGATCTTGGATATTTGTAACATATATATTTTTAAATCACTGTAACTCCTTTTTAAGCAACCTTTAGTCTTTTCAGGATATAAATAAACCTTTTCATCTGTAAATTTGGATCATTCAATACATGTCTCACAAAGAATAATTATCTACTAAAGCAATTCTTTTTTTCCAAAGTAATTTAAATAGCGATGGTAAATCTAAAATCATTTTTTTCAAAATAACTTTATTAGAAATATTTGCATATTTTAAAAAACTAGGCCGGGCTCGGTGGCTCAGCCTGTAATCCCATGCTTTGGGAGGCCGAGGTGAGTGAATTGCCTGAGCCCGTGGGTTCGAGATCCACCTGGGCAACTTGGCGAGACCTCATCTCTACAATAAATCAAAAAATTAGCCAGGCGTGGTAGCGCATGCCTGTAGTTCCAGCTACTTGGAAGGCTGAGCAGAAGGATGACCAGAGCCTAGCAGGTCAAGGCTGCGGTGGCCGGGTCCAGTCTGGGTGACAGTGAGACTTCAACTAAAAAAAAAAAAAACTAAACAAAATAAATATCACTATTTTTGTTTTCTCTGCCAAGATCAGGTAGCTCTTGATTTCAAATCCTAGCATCTTCACCTACTAGTAGAAACAACCTTAAGCAAGTCATATTTCCCTCTCCGCTTTGCTCTCCTCTGCCTCAATTTTCATACTGTTAAAATTGTGGTTGTTTTGATGGTTACATGAGACAGTGTACATAAAGCAGTTAGGACAACATTTAGCATGTCAGTAAGCATTCAGTATAGCATAGCTGTTAGAATAATTATAACAGAATTTATCTATCGAACTCTGCTGTTAACATGGTTGCACTTTATTTGACCACTGGAAGAATTCGCTGCCTTCTGTTTTTTTTTTTTGGAGTTGGAGTCTCACTCTGTCGCCCAGACTGGAGTGCAGTGGCCGCTCCCGGCCACCGCAGCCTCGACCTGCTGGGCTCCGGCGATCCTTCCTCCTCAGCTTTCCAAGTAGCCAGAATTACAGGCGCGCACTACCACGCCCGGCTAATTTTTTTTTTTTTTTGATTTATTGTAGAGATGAGGTCTTGCCTGCCCAGGCGGGTCTCGAACCCGCGGGCTCAGGCAATCCACTCACCTCAGCCTCCCAAAGGTGCGGCTGAGCCACCGAGCCTGGCTCCTTCTGTTTTTTTAGTCTTTAGAGGTTAGGATAATTTACTTAATAGATTAATTCATAATGTATTTTGTGCCACTTGCATTGGTAATGTGATCATGAGAACAGTAACTTAAGATTGTCCCACCACAGTTTACAGTTGTCAGCTTTTAGGTAGTTCTGAGCAGTCATATAAGAGCTAGGAGTGGGGGAGGTTGGGGAAAAGGGGGAATGTTATATGAGTGGGTCCAGAGCACGTTTTCACCCTGCCGCTAACAAGCGCTTAGTACAGGGAAAAAAAACACAAGTCCTTTCTCAAGAACTTCATAATAGAGTGAAATGTGCAGATGGGTGCTTACCTATACACACCTGATGATAATTGTCTCCATTGCTGCATACGCCAGAAGAGGGGCATTGCCTGAAGCTAAAAATGACCAGTAGGTGGCAGTGACACCCTACAGCTGCCAAACAGGATTGCTTGCGTTCCTGATAATGACATACCAAAGGGAATACACACTCTTTTCCAAGATTGATAAAGACAACAGATTACTTTTCTCCTCTGCCAAATTAATTCCGGCTATTTGTAAGATCCATCATTATTTAATAAATTCACCTGTATAGCAAGAAAATGTCAAATCCAGTTCCCTTGAAAATTAGACTAATTTTGGAAGTATTGACATAGCTAGCTCCGCTTTGAATTTTAGATGTCTTTAAATTCAAGTACTTACTTTTTATAATCTGTCCACTTTAAAGTATCTTTGTAACATAAAATAATGCTGGAAACAGCTTAATAGAACCACAATGTTAATTTTGGGATATATGGTCCTCTGTTCGGAGTGTCGAAAGCAAAGTGGGAATAAAACTAAGTGACGTCATCCTACTGAGTTTCCCTCAGCTGACTGTCGACTTCTGGGTGCCTACAACATAAAAAACTCATTGCTATTTGAGAAACTCAAGATGGCAAATAAACATGGTTCTTAATCTTAGTGGGCCAAAGAACAAATTAGTTACATCAGAAATGGAGGACTGACCTCATTTGGGCAAAGATTAGTGCTAGCTACTGAAGTGATAAATGAGCTGGTAGGGAATTCAGTTTCTTCTAGTTATGTTGTTTTGGTTGTTTGAAAACTAGGGTGTAATAGTTAAAAGATGTTTCTGGAGCCGGGCTCGGTGGCTCAGCCTATAATCCCACGCCTTTGGGAGGCTGAGGTTAGTGGATTGCCTGAGGCCGCGGGTTCGAGACCCGCCCGGGCAACTTGGTGAGACCTCATCTCTACAATAAATCAAAAATTAGCCGGGCATGGTAGCACGCGCCTGTAGTACCAGCTATTTGGAAGGTTGAGGCGGAAGGGTCTCTGGAGCCCAGCAGGTCGAGGCTGCAGTGGCTGGGAGTGGCCACTGCACTCCAGTCTGGGCGATAGAGTGAGACTCCAACTAAAAAAAAAAAAAAAAAAGATGTTTCTGGGGTAGCTGTCAATTAGAAATTGGAGCTTGCCCTATTGGCAAGATGTAACCTTCACATTTTAAAACAGTGAACAATGAATAAAGACAAATTTTAAGTCTATTTCTAATATAATAAAGCTGTGTATTGTGATTATTAAAACACTTTTTGAGTCTGGGGGTTCTAAATTTAAATCCCAGTTTTACCACTTCCTAAACCTCGGGTACTTTCTGTAACCTCTGTAACCTCAGTGTTTTAATTTGTAAAATGGGAACATTTGGTAGTACCTATTTCAGGCTTGTTGTGAAGATAAAAGGAAGTAACACTTGGAAAGAGTTTGGCACAGTGCCTGATATATACTCTAGTATTGCTAGAATGACTTAAGGTTGCCAAAAGGAAGGTCCCACAGGATGGCCACCTTTCCCATTTTTTTTTTTTTTTTTTTTTTTTTTTTTGAGTTGGAGTCTCACTCTGTCACCCAGACTGGAGTGCAGTGGCCGCTCCCAGCCACCACAGCCTTCACCTGCTGGGCTCCAACGGTCCTTCCACCTCACCCTTCCAAGTAGTTGGAACTACAGGTGCACGCTACCACACCCAGCTAAATTTTGATTTATTGTAGAGGTGAGGTCTCGCCAAGTTGCCCAGGCAGGTCTTGAACCCGTAGGCTCAGGCAATCCACTCACCTTGGCCTCCCAAAGTGCTGGGATTACAGGCTGAGCCACCCAGCCCGGCCTCCTGTTTTCAAGGTCACTGATACGTTGACTATGATCCTTCCTATTTATCAAGATTCACAGACACTCCACTCCGCCTGTCATCTTCTTCAATAATCTACTTACTGCTCCCATTAAGTAAGTTTTTTCTATGAAATAAGCAATTTATATCTGTGCTAACCTTGTGGTATCGGTAGCCATTGATCTGTTCTTTGGCACACAACTGGTTACCTTTGAGCTTTCTCTAGAACTATAAAAACGTCCAAAAGTTTCTAATCAGAGGTTTGGTACAACTTGAGGTAACCATTCTTTTAGCCAAGAGCTTAGTAAATGTTCTGACAAAAGACCTATCTCCCTAATTACAAAATTCTGCCTGATGTGGCCCTCCAGGTGAATCAGCCACTTCGAAATGATAGAGGGATGCGTTCTGGAAGGTTCCCAAGCAAAGCACTTCCTGAGCTGCAGGCTCATTACATCATCACAGATCAGTATTCTGGGCAGGCTAAGGCTCACCCTCCTCATTGTCCTTCACCCTCCTCAAAACATCTCCCTAGGGAGCACCAACCTGCATCTGAGTTTGCCTTTGGTTTGCTGTATGAAGCACTCGAGCCACCTTTTGCAACTAGGTGAGAAGGCTGGAGGTTAAAGTTCAGAACAGCCCTGGGTTGTACAGTGGTGCAATAACCAGGAGTATGGAGACAATTTCAAAGTTATAGCGCTTTTATAGAAAACGTTGTTTGCAAAGACTCATATTTGTTGTTACATTTTAAAGGCTGCTTTTATTTACCTTAATATTGTAAATAATGACATTAAGGCCAGGCGCAGTAGCTCAAACCTGTAATCCCAGCACTTTGGGAGGCTGAGGTGAGAGGACTGCCTGAGTCCAGGGGTTCAAGACCAGCCTGGGCAACGAGGTAAGACCTTGCCTCTACAGTAAAATTAGCCGGGTGTGGTGGTGCTTGCCTGTAGTTCCAGGTACTTGGAAGACAGAGGCAGAAGGATCATTTAAGCCCAGCAGGTTGAGGCTACAGTGGCAATAAGTGTGCCACTGCACTCCAGCCTGGGCGACAGAGTAAGACTCCAACTCAAAAAAAAATAAAAAATAAAAAATAAATGGCATTAAAGTTAACATTTTATATAACATTTAGAATCGGATTACTGTAGGTTTAATTCCATAAATAGAAATATGTCTTATAGATAAAATATATTATTGGAACATTTATTACAATATTACATGCTTCTAAAATAAGCACTTGGAATAAATGAATCCCCAAAACCCTGCCTACTTTAATCCCACTGTTATCAACATTGAATAGGTTTGGCCTAGGTTAGGAAGAGAAATATGTGTGTTTACACATCAGTTTTCAAGTGTTTGGTAGAGTGTCAAGTGGTGTCAGGGAAGAGAATACATAGCTTTTGAAGATACAATTTTTGTTGGCTGAAAACCACCACTGTCTTTGAAGAAACAAAAACCCACAGAACAACTACATGACAATACAAAGTAGATTCTAACTAAGAGCATGGTGCCACTAATAAGTACTGGAGAGATTTCAAGCAGTCTGAATGGAAGGTATGTGTGCTTTGGTGAATAGTTTGGGGGCGAGTTTGGGAGGAGTGGTTGATTGAACAGGTGAACTGGACCGAGGAAATCATGCAGAAAATCCAGAAGACAGGAATGAATGTGGTATGCCTGCTATGCTGTTGCTGGGGAAATGGTGTTATGTGCAGTAAAGGGCCACATAAAAGATTATTTGGAAAATTTTAAAGTGTTGATGTATGAGGAAAAAGCCACCGTGGTTTTTCAGCAGCACAATGATT